GCCCCCTGGTGGGCTGAGATGGCCACACACACACACCACACACTCTCTCTCTCTCTCTCTCTCTCTCTCTCTCTCTCTCTCAAATAAAAAAATAAATAAATAAATTTAGCTATTACAAAATGTGCTGCTACGAACAGGAGTGTTCATGTATCACCGTGGTATGATTAACTCCTCTGAGAATATACTCAGAATGGGGACAGCTGGGTCAAATGTGACCTCTCACCCAGTTTGTAGGAATCTTCACAGATTGCCACAGTGGTTGCTCAAGCCTATATTCTCAAAATGCTCCTTTTTTTCCAGAGCCCCACCAATATTTGCTATTGTTTTTTTTTTCTTTGCTATTGTTTTTTAATTTTAAAAAAATTTTAGAGCAAGAACAAATTAGAATGAAACCAGAAAAAATTACAAGTGATACAGATTTTTCACTTAACAAAGTAATATAAATTTCACACCTGAGTTCAACCTCTGGTTCCACCAAAACAAACAAACAAACAAACAAACAAACAAAAAAAAAAAAACTAATATGAATTTCACAGTATTTGTTGTAATACATAGTGTTGTCTTCCAATCAGTTAATCATATTACCTGATTGCATGTAAAATTGGAAGAAGAAAAAAAGAAATGTATAAGAAATTAAGAAAAAAAAGAGAAACAATTGAAAAAAGGAGAGGAAAGAAATTAAAGCATTAACTGCTTCTTTCCATAGACCAGCAGAAATACACAATACAGTGGTCCAAACCATTCTGCTTACATACATACATAAATATCTTTCCCCTACTTCCTCTCTTGTCCTTCTCCTCAACTCAGTAACTCTTTCCTTTTGAATAAGGCCATTCCCTTTTACCAGTGTCTATGGTACACTTCAGATTTCATTTTTCTTTTTTAGGTTCTCACACTGAGGAGACAATATGATGTTTGCACATGCGGTTCTGATTTATTTCACTTAAGAGTATGTTCTCTAGTTGAATCCATTTACCAACAAAAGACTCAAATTTGTCCTGTTTTATAGCTTCATAGTACACCATTGTGGAAAAGTACCAAATATTCTTTATCCATTCTTCAGTTAATGGGAATCTGGGTTGTTTCCAGATTTTAGCGATAACAAATTGCTCTGCTATAAACATGGGTGCACATATATCATTGTGGTATGAGGTTTTCAGTTCTTCTGAAGACATACCCAGGAGGGGAATACCTGGTTTGAATGGGATCTCCAGTCTTAGCTTTTTAAGGAATCTCCACACTGATTTCTATAGTGGTTGTACCACTCTGCACTCCCACAAATACTGGAGAAGGGTTCCTTT